ACGGTTAGGGAGCCAATCCGAAGGCGGCGCGCGCAGGAAGGCGGGCCGGCGTGACGGACGCGGGAGGTGGCGCCAGGTTGGTTGCTAGCTGCTGCTGCCGCTCACCCGGGCGCTCGGGCGCTTCGCCGTTGCCGAGCCTCCGGGCTGCGCCAGGAGCCGCGCGTGCCAGGTAGGCGGCCCGAGACTTGGGCTCAGTTCGTCCTGCTTCGCCGGCTCCGCGTCCCCGCCCCGCCGGCTGAGTCCGCAGGCCGCACGCCCCAGGCCCGGCTCGCGGCTGCATCCCCGGCCCGCGCAGGTGAGGGGCCGCCGTCCGGGGATGGAGGCCTAGGTCTGGGCCAGGGAGAGGGTCCATGACCCGCACGGGTGAGAGGCCGGGCCACGAGGCGGTTCACGGCCCTCGCGGGTGAGGAGGCCCGGGCAGATGAGGGGGCCCGGGCAAGGAGCGGGGTGCTGGGCCTGGGCAAGAAAAGGAGTCCACGGCCTGCGCAGGTGAAAGGGCCTGGGCAAAGGAGTGGGTTCGGTTTCTTGCAGGTAAGGCGGACTTTGCCTGAGGGTAGGACCCCTCCTCCGGTCTTTTCCTGAGGACAGCGGTGGAGTCCGATTCGCTTGTCTCTGGCCTAACTGACTCAAGCCCTGAGGGAACTGGGGAGATGGGAGCTGACCCGTGGAGAAGTGGAAGGCACCGCGCTGCACGTGGACCTTGACCTCTGCCCCAGCCGGGGTCAGACCACCCTTGGGGCGTCGGTGACTCCGGACACCAGCCCATTCCCCCTTCAGGTCCTGGGAGAGACACCTTTTTTATCCAAGGTGGTATGGCCTCTAGGGCCTCCTTCACCTGGCCTACAGGTTTCCATGGAGCGTCTGTGTTTACATCCCAGGGCCAATGCATGTGGGAAGGCAGGCTTTGAGAACCAACCCAGGTGGCTGGTGCCCTGAGGACAGGAGGGTCTTAAATTTCACCTGCACAACCAGAAATGCATAACTGAGTACGCTGATCCGGTCAGTGGCAGGGACATCCTCTAGAGAATGGGGTATCTGGCTCCCCAAGGCAGGGGGTGCACTGGGGAGCCTGCTGTGGGGTGTCATTCTGAGGAAGGAGCAGCATGACTTCAGGCGATGGGTTATGTGCCCACTGGCCCACCCGAGGCAATTCTCAATGTTGGCCTTGAGTCCCCAGTGGAGCTTGTTCCATTCATCCACTTGTTCAGTGTGCTACCTGGCTGCCTTCCTCCTGCTGGGTGCTGGATCTATACTGTCTCTGTCCTCACAAGGGAACCAACCTTGTATGGCGATATGAGGAAAATTCGAGCCAGATAAGGAATGAGAAGTGATGGGGGGTGGTCCAGGAAGGCCTCTGAGTGAACGGAGGGGGACCATCCTGGTACGGGATCAGGGCTTGCACTTAGGACTGCCTGCTGCCCTGGACTGCCCACCTGTCCATCATCCAGGGCTCCTACTGCTCTGTCATGTGATGGCGTTGGGTCCAGAACTGTGTTCACCCCCCTGTATTCCTGCAGAGGAGCTCACCGTTCAGCCAGAAGGGTGTGTGGATAGGGCAGGCTTTCCCTGGGAGTTAAGTGGTAGGTAGACCCAGGTGTCCTGGTCCGACTGACACTTAGGTGCTGGGTGCAAGGAACTGTGGTTTTTGGGGGCGTCTCATTGCATCTGTTGCTTCCTTACCCAGGGCCTGCCTTGTCCACCATGAAAGGCTCCCGGACCATTGGCGGTGCCCCCAAGGGCAGCCCGGCAGGTGTGGACCTGAGTCTGACAGGCCTTCCTCCGCCCTTGTCCCGGCGCCCCAGCAGTGCCTCTGCCACCAAGCCCATCGTCCGCTCTGTCTCTGTGGTCACCGGGAGTGAGCAGAGGAGGAAGGTGCTGGTGAGTACTGGGGCCTGGAGGTCTGGGGGCCCCTGACTCCTGGAGCTGTCGTCTGGTGGCATCTGACCCTTGGATACAGCTCTGCATGTGAGCAAGAGCCTCACTTCCATGGATATGTTCGATCCCTGCGTCAGTCCTGGGGCAAGATAGACTGGGGCCTTACAGACCCGGAAGTGGGAGCTGACTCACAGGGAGGTTGTGGCCAGGTCAGCTGGCCTAAGCAGAGCCTAGATCCTCCAACACCAGCCCCGTTCCTTCTGCACCATCTCCCTTTGGGTTTACTTGAATCCTCAAGAAATGGGGTTGACCTGTGGGAGGGTGATGAGCTCCTGGTGGACTCGGAGAAGGCTGGATGGTTAGGCAGGTGGGCAGGCAGGTGGATTGGTGGGGCACATGGATGGGTGGACAGCAGGACAGTGGTAGGAGCTTCGGGGACAACAGCTGCCTTTCCTGGCCACTCTGGGAGGGAGAGAGGGTACTCTGGTGGGTAGGGCTCAGTCGGGGAGCTGTGAGTGGTCAGGTCTGTGAGAGGTGCACCCCTGAATTCCTGTGTGCCAAGCTTGTCTGCAAGGAAGGGAGGAATGGGTAGTTCCTGACCTGAGTCTTGCCTGGGCTTCCAGAGCAGGGAGGGGCCTGTGGGCATTGGCTTGGGTGCTGCGGTGGGTCTGGGGCTCCTGCCCAAGGCCCTTTCTGGCATTACAACAGGGTGGAGGGCAGCTGCATGGGTCCAGAGGGCACTTGGGCTTCCCTCAGGTGTCCCTGGCATGTCTCGGCTAGGGTACCACTGTGGACAAAAGGGTTGGAGCCTTCCCTTCTCCCTAAAAAAGCCATTCCTATGTCTGACCTAGAAGCTAGAGGGAGGCAGATGGGGGCGGCTAGAGGCCCAGTGGAGTTCTGGGGCAGGGACAGTGGGCCAGTAGAGGACTCTTGGTCCAAGCAAGCTTCCGAAGCCTGGGTGGCATGTCAGGGACCTGGATGTCCTAACATCACCATGGCTGCTACGTCTAAAGATACGCTGTACTGTTTTAGCAGAGGAATAACCGGCTTGGGCTAGTGCTATCTGTGAGCCCCTCTGCCTCTCCCGTCTGCAGCCTTGCTCCTGAATCCTTGACCCTCTCACCTTCCTGCCCAAGTCCCATCCATTGCCCTAGACTCACGGAGAGGACAGGGGCAGTCAAGATGCACTTGAAATCGCAGCTCTGCTGTTGTGTGGAGAGGATGTGGTAGAAGTCGCTGAGCTTTCCAGTAGACAGTGAAAATGATGGTGCACGGGCATGGATGGGCTGTTATCTGTGGCTGACCTGGGCACCCCACGGCCACTCGCAGCTTTTCTGCAGGGAACCGTTCTGTTACTGAGTATGAGTTCAAAGCCAAAGTGAGCCTTAACCATATGGGGCCCTTCTTTCCACAGCGGGCACCGTCCCTCCCTCCCATGGTGTGGAGTGGGGAAGGCTAGATAGAGTCCCCTCACTCATGGAATGTTCCAGCTGTTCACTTAAGTTCTTTGAGTTGCTCACTTGATCCAAGATGGCCCTGCACCCAGCACACCTCTGTTGGGCACATGGCAGCTCAGGAAACCCACCCACCAGTGTGTGACCCGGCCTAGGAGTTCTTGTTCTGTTCAGTCCTGCCGTCCTCTGGGCTGCCCGTCCTTGCTGCCCCTCAGTCTCGCTGGATTCCTTTTGGCCAAGCTGTGGCTTCTCCCTTCCTACTGACCCTGTGCAGGCTCTGTGAAGAGGGGTGCACTCTTTTTTTTTTGAGTTGGAGTCTCACTCTGTCACCCAGACTGGAGTGCAGTGGC